AAAGTTATTTCATGAGTTATTTGTTTTCTGATATAACCTTGAGACTGAATAGCTAGCAAGCTAACATTGACTAGTCTGTTCATAACAGTAGCTTGCGTAGTCAAATAGCTACGCTAAGTCAAATCATCTTGTACCTGAATAAAATTAAAGTTTTTCTACTTGAGTTAAAGTGCAAAAATATTTGAAAATGTACTTCGGTTAAAAAAGGAAAAAAAAAGGTAAAGTTCTGTGAGTTATTGTAATTTATGAACAATTTCTATTAAGGAAACCTGAGTGACTGCAGACACGAGTTAGCTGCTGTTCGTGTCTTTCCCCACACAGGTCTCCTTAACAGAAAAAGAAATAATAATGATAATAATAACACAATCATTATAACAAATACCAGCAATAACTCACAGTACTTTTGTTACTTTAGTACATTTACAGGCAATGTATATGAATCAGAAGTCTTGCAAAAAAAATACTTACTTCCCCATTTTAAAATAAGGTGGTATCTTTTTTGCTATTCCCTTCAAGAAATGCTCTTGAGAATGGTCATGTTTATGGTCCCCCTAAGCCGAAATTAGATTTTTGCCCTTGGGCACAATCACCAGTACCAACAGCAAGTAACAGGTCAATGGTCCCTTTTAAAAAGTACTGTGAAATGACCTGAAATCAGACTAGAAAACTTCATAAATTCTGAAAGTTTTGAGATAGACAAGAGATTATGCTTTTTTAAAAGTGGATGGAACACTGCATGTTTAAAACATTCTGGAACAGTGCCACTGAGCAAGCTTGTGTTAATCATTGCAAAATGTCATGACTCTATACATCAAGGGTTTCTCTGAACAGCCAGATGGCAGCTGTACAGACAGTACTGCTTCTAAATAAGAGAACTTGTGTAAGCTGTTTGCATCATCTACAAAGTCAGGCAGTTTTTCTTAATGCTCCTTTGCATTTAATATTTCTTATGCAGAAATCTGAAGCCTCTACATTGTTTCCTCATTTTACTCGCTAAATAGGTTTGGGACAACTGACGATAGTGTCGAGAAACGCCAATAGATTCCAACTATCCTGATGGCTATCAAGTTGGATGATTTAAATGTCTGTGTGCAAACACAGTTTTAAGATTGACAAAAATACATTTGTTGTCTCATACTATGTGCTCCTTGTAGCCCATACTGTAGTCCTATACAATCCTTAAGCATTTCTGACTTTGTTAAAGGGTAACTAATTTAAAAAAAAAAAAAAATGCAAATGCTAGTAATTAGCAGATACTTCCAGATTCCAGTAATTTTTTTAAATTGTAATGAAGTAACACGTACACCCCTCCAAGGCCAAAGATACTATTGTCATCCTGTGATTTTTAAGGGGAACAGTAGGACAATGGCATGTTGCACACAATCTCACAAGCCTGTTGCTATAGCAATTCACTTTTTTTTCCAAGGGCAATATACTGTTGTAACTGTCTTCTTCCAGTACAAGTTGTTTGGCAATGATGTCAAGGCTTACTTTAGTTGAACCAGTTATTGATGGCTCCACTCCCACTGCTGTACCTCTTCTATTTTCAGCTGTAATAGCTCTTTCTTGAGTTGTAGCCTTTCTTTTTTCCAGTGTTATGTGCTCTTGAGTATACCAGAAGTTGTTGTGTCGTGCTTGGGTGGAGCCTTGACTGGGCCTTACATGTGAATAATTGCGTGTTTCCAACATTGTGGCAAAAGTTTGAGGAAGAACCACATAGGGGTGTGATGGCCAGGTGTCCACATACTTTTAGCCATATAGTGTATTTACCCTTAATGCAAATCTGTGGTTCAGTTTTTCGACTATGTATTTTCCACTGCTGTTACAGGAGAGGAGTCCACACAGAAGCAGTTTAAGAACACTTTTGGGTTTACAAAGTGCTTTGGCAAATATTTGCAAAAGAGGCAGTTATGTAAGGTTTATCCTTTTTGAATTGTTTGTTATTCACTAAGAGGCATCTTTTTTCATGAAATGCTTACTAATTGATCAGAATGAGGTGGTCAGAAGTAGGGCAAACTTAAGACTATGCAGGGTAGTGGCTGCCCATGCCTAGAGTTGAGAATGCCTGCTATATGATGTTTCTTATTAGGATTCCTTTACTGTATTCATATTTGATCAAGCTGACATTTTATCCAGTCAAAACTAATATCAAAAGAGAATTAATATCCGAAGTTCTCTACAGTTTCTTACACTGCACAAAATGACATCTTAACAAGTGAAAATATTGTACACTATATGACCAAATTTTGTGGACACCTGACCATCACATCCATATGTGGTTCTTCCCCTAACTGTTGCCACAGAGTTGGAAGCACACAATTGTATAGAATGTCTTTGTATGCTGTAGCATTACAATTTCCCTTCACTGGAACTAAGAGGCCCAAACATGTTCTAGCACGACAATGCCCCTGTGCACACCTTTGTGATGAACTGGAACACTGACTGCACCCCAGCCTACCTTGCCTGATGTCAGTGACTGATCTCACTAATGCTCTTGTGGCTGAATGATCACAAATCCCCACAGCCACACTCCAAAATCTAGTGAAAAGCCTTCCCACGAGAGTAGAGGTTATTATAACAGAAAAGGGGGACTAATGCTGGAATGGGATGTTCAACAAGCACATACGGATGTGATGCTCAGCTGGTGACAAACTTTTGGCCATTTGGTATATCTAGAATATAGTCAAATTTATCAAGTTTTTCCTATTATAAGTCTAAACCTATTTCTACATTTTTTTTTACTAATTTCAAGCTTGAAATAATCTTATTCTCTTGGCAGATAATTTTTAAAGCATTTATTTCTAGAACGAAGCAAACATTTCTGCCAGAATAGGAAATATTAGATAAATGTGCCCATACTCAGTCTATTTTTTACTTGCTATCATTTTTTTCAGTGTAAATGCCTAATGAACTATGGTCACAGGTCTCTGAACAGTTCTGTTTGCCATCCTTATGTATATGATGAAAAACATATGGAAGACAGATGGAAGAGGTCAATATTCAATTATCTTCTGAACTGGTCATATATAACCCAAAATGATATAAAGAGAAGCACACACTTCTGCTCCCACTAATTAGCTTGAAATGTCATTGGAAAGAGAACAGACTTTTAATAGTTCATTCTCTCTTAAAAACAAAATCCTAGGGCTTTCAAACAGCATCCGGGAGTTTACTTCCCTCTTTCACTTGTCATTTTATGAGCCAGGGACCGAGGCATAATGGAGAAAGAAGAGCATAGAGAGGGGTGTGAGGTGCATTCCCCACTGCTCTTTAATGCCCACTCACCCATACTAAGTGTGTGAGCTTAGCAGTGCACAGACTGTACATGAAAGATCAACTGTCACAAAATGTATCAGCCATAGAAACTCAGAAGCCCATAAGCATCTGATATCTTTTATCCACTTTTCTGGCCACAAATTGCAGAATGTTGAAGGTTCTAATCTGCCTGGATCTCTGCACTTCCATGTATACAGGCTGCCATATGCCAGTTTCCAGCAGGAAAACAGAATTTTGTCCACTGTGACACAGTATGCTTTTGAAATAAAAAAAATAGTCACTAGACTGAAAGAAGTTCACAAAATTCTGTTTTTAAAAATTATTAAAGAGTTTTGTTTGAAACAGTGTTGAGTAAATAAGGAATAACACGACAGACAGTGCAGTTATATGAAAATAATGCATGCTGGGGATACCACTCTGAAGTGCACTATTTTCATATACACAGTCGGGAGTGTGTTATTTGCTAATAATTCCAATGTTTATTTTATTAATGAACTATACATCACACATTTTGATGCTTCATAGTTAGATTTAATGACATGGAACTTCTGAGAGACAAGTTAGTTCCTGTTCTCACTTACTTTATAGCCGTAATAAACAGTTGAGTAGTTCCCTCACCAGCCTCTCTTTCTCTCTCTCACACACACACACTCTCTCTAAAAACACAGCTTGTCATTTTACTGATAAACCGGAAAGTGTAAACTCCTCTGTCCTGAACTGAAGACTGTTCTGTGCTGATAGATTTTTACAAAGCACCATGACTGTTACAAAGCACTGACACTAGATACTCCTTCCATAAATGTTACATATAGTAAATGTCTAACAAAAACATCACCACATCAATGATTATACATCAATCAATTATACACTACATCAATCAATTATACATTTTTCTTTGAAAACAACGGTTTTTTAAATCCGTTTATTATTAGTCTTAGATTAAGTCCCTGTGTATGAGCAGTTACCACAGAAACAATAATGTATTAGAACAAGCACATTAATATAAATCTGTCATTCATGTTACAGCCAGAACTACTGTCTGAGCTGTGCTGTTATACAAAAATAATGCGCAACTTCTGACCAATCAGATTTAAGTGTTCAACCATGTTATGGTATAAACTAGGTAACCTTGCATGTTTGCCCATAGGCTAAAGGTCTGTGGATCGCCTGTGAGACAAATTTCCTTGTTGGCCATGTTTGTCAAAATATTGTTGCCCATTTTATTTTATATAGGCATTTTTTTTTAATGGTTTTATTTAAGGCTGACTTTTTTTTTCTTTAAAACAAACATGACTTTCAGGGCCACCATAAGTCAAAAAAGTGAAGAAACAGAATTACTGAACTACTAATTTTTTGCCCTTCTATGTTGTTGATTTACAATTTTTAGCAACATGATTTTTATTGCATCAGCTGTATATGATGCAAACCAGTTGTTAAAACAATTGGTTGAAAGCATAATGCCTGTTAAAATTATTTTATTATTACTAATGGTTAATTAGCCTACATAAACCAGAAACAGAAAGTATTAATTAGAACGTTGTTGCTGTTCCCCTTTCAGCTACTCCCGTTAGGGGTCGCCACAGCAGATCATTGGTCCGCTTATTTAATTTGGCACAGTTTTTACGCCAGATGCCCTACCTGACGCAACCCTACCCAATTTTATCCTGGCTTGTGCCCAGCACTGAGAGCGCACTGTTGCACACAACCCCAGTGCCTGGGGTTGGTTCCCTGGCAGGGAATTGAGCCCGGGCCACAGCGAAGAGAGCCCTGTGGCCTAACCACTAGTCCTCCAGGGACCCTAGAAGTCATTAATGAGAATAAAAGGTAAGAATAAATATTACTCTAGTGAGTTGCTTACATTGCCACGTAAATGTGTCATTAGAAGGTGGAAGTAGTTGAATACACTTGAGAGCTTGTTTACAGTAACAGTCTAAACTGGCAGAGTCAAGTGCTCCAATTGCAGTGCAACAAGTGCATGTGAATGGAGTCTATATATAGGGAATTGGAATGAGGAACAAGTGTGGGAATTAGTAGTAAGGTAAGTGGGAGTGTGACAAAGTCCAGACTGGAGTGGGAAAGGATTCTGAAATTGCAGTAGCGCCTGGTGGATCTGGGGTTGACAAAATTCCGCATTCACTACCTACATGCACAAGTATTAAGTATAAATTAATGTCTAATGAGTGGTCCCTATGATGAAGTCTTACTTCATTTTTTTTTAGCTGAACTATGGTTCTTCCAAATAAATGTGCTCATTAGATTATGCAGGAAGTTGTTGTTATGTATCTTGACATGCTGTTTCATTGTAGTTATTACTAACCATCTGTCTGAGTGGAGAAAGAAGAGAATGTGTCCAGCTGTTCTTCAAAGTACACATTTCATGTAACCATGGAGCAATTAAGCATACAGATTCAGCTGAGAACAGAACTGCTGCAGCACTGAACAGAGCAGAGATGATCATTAGCAGAGTGCGGTTAACAGGTGCTGAACCACAGCGCTGGCACACAGAGTGGATGGATATGCTGCAGCCAACTACCGTAGGCAGGGTCAGACTTCAAGCAGACTAGAACAGCTTTTTAAATGGAAGTATCCATTTTAATTGTGTTTATTTAAAGGACGTAAGCATTAGTGTAACTGGGGAAGCTTGATAGCACTATCTATCACTTTAATCTCTCTCAATCCTTAAAATTGTAAAAATGCAAACACCCCAATTGGAAAAAAGCTATACTCTAGGTATCAGATATTGATGGACATTAAACACGACTCTTTGGACAATCTTTTTGGAATCAGGAACACAATGGAATGTGGAAATACTTATAAAACAGAGAAACATAAATGACAGTGCAGTGCAAATCCTATGTAAGTAGATTGCATGTTGATCTAAAATGAAGATGGTGCTAAGAGTTAAAACCTTGTAAAAACCATAAATGAAAAAAAACCCATAAACTCCAACCCTGCCTTATCTCACTGAGCTGCTATAGTCCTACACCCCTCCTCAGACTCTCAGGTTTACCTGTTCTGAGTTACTGGTGGTGTCCAAGACCAGAATGGCATTAATGGGGGCAGGTTTTTTAGGGCAATAGCCACCAAAGGACCTTAGAATGGGCCTCATTTATTAAGCTGGATACAAACAGATTTATGTGAAATCCTTTGTATGAGTGAAAAAAAAAATTGGCATTCATGAAAATCTGGGGAACTTTGAAAAATGTCCGTATCCTACTCTTGTTCCTAAGTGCATGTAAATTTATGCATAAAGAGACTAACTAATGTAAACCTCAAGCAGTAAGAATCAGAAGGCCAGATTGGAATTTGCAAAGAAATACAGCGATGAGCCACGAAAGTTCTGGATCCAAGATTAACCTCAACCAAAGTGATGGAAAGACCACAGTGTGGAGAAAGAAAGGATCTGCTCATGATCCAAAACATACAAACTCATCGGTCAAGCACGGTGGAGGTAGTGTCATGGCTTGCATGGCTGCTTCTGGAACAGGCTCACTGATGTTTATTGATGATGTGATTCATGCTGGTAGCAGCAGAATGAATTCAGAAATCTACAGAAACATTCTGTCTGCATCCAATCTAATTGGGAGGAACTTCATCATGCACCAAGACAATGACCACAAACACACTTCCAACACAACAAAGCACTTCATCAGGGGAAACAGTGGAAGATTTTAGACTGGCCAAGTCAATCACCAGAGCTTAACCCAATTGAGTAGCATTTCACCTCCTGCAGAGGAGACTCAAGGGAGAAAACCCCAAAAACAAACAACAACTGAAAGAAGTGAGGTACAAGCCTGGAAAAGCATCAGAAAAGGAGAATGCAACAGTTTGGTGATGTCAGAAGGTCAACTTGCTGTTAAGACAGCAAGTCAACCGAAATCCATTTTAAGACCAATAAGGCTAGTTGTTTAATTAAGATGAAATGCCACGACATAAAAGGAGTATGGGCTGGGGTTTGTGCAGATGGTAGCCATAAGCCAAGGTGGTGCAAATAGCAGAATTGATATTACTGAAAAGGTTAGTACATGATGCCCTTAGGAGCCAACAGATATTTCGAGACCAAATTTATTTATTTTTTTATGTCAGAGGATGAAAGGTGGCTTATAAGTCGGTTCTGTTTGCCATGGCATCTGGTCAATTTTAAAAAGCGTTGTCATGGTTCGCCCTCCCCTGGGAACAGAGAAACTCTGTCGATTAGCAGTAATACTTTTTTTTTTTACTCTGTTTTTGTATCACACCATTTTCTTTTGACCTCAATTATATTGCGCTAGATGGACCAAACCAAATTCACCTCTGTAATTTCTCTCCATATTCTGGCCTTTTCAGCTGCTGTGACTCCGCTGGATATGCTGCGAAACAATATATTTTTTTTATTCTTGTAGACCTGATTCAAAAGTTCTTCAATTTCTGCCTCAGAGAAATTATTTTTTTTACCTACCTAGCCATTTTGTGCCTTCTGCTCTGTGAACTTGGCTTTTTATGGTGTTTTGTGGGCGTCACCAAACACAACTCAGCTGTGGCATGCACATGCCTGGTAATTTACAGGTGATTGCCGTTTATCAACATTTATCACATGCAAATACAAAGAAAACCAACATTTACAAAACTTTTGTAAATCCGGCATAAATGTTTAGTTTGGTTTGGCTTACACAAATTCTTACACACAATTTTACTCAAATATGATGAATCAGGCCCAATAAGTGTGTGTACAGTGACCTTGAGTGTCAGACAAGCACTATATTAATGGAACAATTTTGGTGTATGTCCCACAAGCACTCTAGAGCCACCAACAGTGGACATTTGTACATATGATTGCAATAATAACTCTGAAATGCACCATCGTAGAAACACAATTCCAAACACTTTCCTTGATTCATTGAGTTATGCTGAGGTCAGAGGATACCATAATGTTAATTTCTGCCATATTGTATTTTCCATCATTTCCAATTGTTTCAAAAACAGTCTTTCTCACTTCTTCTCCTAATTTACAAATTAGCAAAACCGCTCATAACATTTAAAACTGCTCAAAATCAGATCAAGATTTTTCTTTCTGTTGATTCCTCTGCTTGACTCATGAGTTTTAACAAAAACTGTTTTTCACTTCTACAAATTCTGTCTGTTCATCATGAAATTCACTGCATCATGGGAACAATCCAAACATTCCAAACTTGTTTCTTTGATTTTTGATATGTGAGACAGTTCATCCATTATGCACAAACAAATTTGATGGTGAAGTCACCAACCAGGAAGTGAGGGCATATCTCTGCAACACTTATGTATTGACAGCAAACTAGGCACATGTGTCTAGCAACATGACCTGATGTTAACCAATAAGCACTGAGTTTATTTGCAACTTAGGGGAGCTACTGAAAACAGGAATGAGGCAATATCTCAATAACAGATTGATATAGTGCCATCAAATTTAGTATATCTCCTCGGGAACATGTGATGCGAGAAGAGAACACATAGCTCATATCTGTAACGTTAGTGAATGGCTTCCTGTTGCTGAGGTTGCAGATGCAATGTGCTACACTCTCTGGGAATTTGAGTGCATACTTTTTTCCACTTAGTCTGTATTAATGACCTTAACTTTCTTATAAGCCATTTTCATTTATTTATTATTTTAATTTATTTTCCATTCATTCATATATCTTCAGTAACTGTTTTACCCTGGTCAGGGTCACAGTGGATCCAGAGCCTATCCCAGGAATCCACCCTGACTGGGATGCCAGTCCAGTGCAGGCTTGCCATACTTTTGAGTTAAATGTGAAAAAACATGTGACTGGCATGAGACTTTCATCTGCCCAGTCTGCAAACTAATTAATCTAATCATTTATCCATGCCTGTTTGTTAATGGTAATAATCTCTTTGCATTCAATATAAAATCTGTCCCTATTTGATGCACAGCAGTTTATTTAGCTGACTGGAGGAAAAATGCTGTAAGAGTGTAAGAGAGAGCTTACAATAAAAACCAGAAACCTGACCATTTTACAACTGATGATTTGCATTTATGAGCATTTGTTCTATTAAGACCATAATGGTGTGGTATAAAGACGTCTCAGAGTCTCTCGTCTTCAGCTTCACACTCTCTGAATGAAACTTCTCTTATAGACATTATCCTTTCTATGGCTGTAGTTTTGGGGGTGATGTTCAGTCCAGTGTTAAGGACTGAAGATTATGCAAAATTTTTGATATGGATTATTTGCACAGGTGCTTATTCCACAAATATCAGTTGTTATTAATTTTTCCTCATTAATACTGTCTACCAGTAATTTATGTGAGAGAAATAATGTTCACAAATGTTTAGCTGTTCACATGTGAATGGCATTGATCTCCAAAACTGGTGCTATTACTGTAGTTAGTAATCATGCAGCACTTCATGTGACATAACTATTATGGATTTTGAGAACTGGTTGAAAATAAAGAGGCTAATATCAGGAAGTCTTTACCAAGGACTAGCAGTAAACAAAATATAAATACACACACACACACACACACATATCTTATTTTCTTCACAGTAGTTCCTCATCTGATATTTTGCAAATGCCAAAACCAGCTAGAAACCTCTACCTTAATTAAAATTCATGGCTTAATTTTCAGCCTCAAAGATCAATATCTCTCCCCAGTGAACTTAAGACCATATGTCTGGATCCTAGAGTGCATCCGTAGCCAATGTCAGAGGGGGCTTTCTGAGCTATCAGCCTGGGCCAAGAATCCCCTCTGGGTCTGACGAGACGATGGATTAACCAACAGAACAAATTATAACCTTTAGTAATGCACTTATAGCTTCACACAT